CAACACGTGACAACTCCCAGGAGCATATAAGTGTAATATTTCGAGCAAATATTATATATAAATGTTCAATTTGATATTTGCTATATGCGCTCGAAGTTAAGTTTACCCCAAAAGTCACTTGTAAGATTTTACTCGAATGTAGTATATTAGAGTATTATCAGTACTTTTATACTCCACTAACGTCGTTAATTCCACTTCTACAATGTGCGACGTGTTCTCTATTTAACGTATTATACAAACTGAAAAAATTATCTCAAATTGAAACATATTGAACACAGGATCAGGTGTGATATCATTATATTCGGTTTCGCAATAAAACTTGATGTAAGGATAATTAATTGGATCAACAAGACATATGTACGCCATAGGGTTTCAAATGATAAACACCAAAAGCTTGTAGATATGACAGTCACGGCCGATTGATGGGTAAAATGCTACTAGAGTTGATGTGATATAAAGGCAATTATATCAGGTTTGGCATGTGGTGAATATAATTGCATATATATCGACTTTTTTCTGTCGTAATTGGGAGACGCATACTGCTGCTGCTGACCTCGTTCCTAATAGCATGACAAAGCTCATATTGCTATAAATTCTTTCTCGTCATTTCTATTTGATTTTGATATATACCTGATAGTAAAAAAAAGATATTAATGCACTTTCGTTTGACTAACGTAGTAGTGTCATTAATTTGCCAATAAACTTATCACGATAACGTTACTGTTATATTTTCTACCAATCACTGTTGTTAGCACCAGTCAGTTCAGAATTGTCGTTGGTATTGTTTTGGAAATATCAGAAAGAATTTACAACAGGGGAAAAAATTGTTGAAATGTTTACACCAAACAACAGAAAGCTACCGTTGACTTATTTTAATTTCATATCACCCACGGTATTCCAATTAGCTAAGGATGATAAAGCTGGGTGTTTTCTTTTTATGCGTACTTGATCCTATTAATCATGGGTGTCTTTTTCTCAGTACTTAACTTGATTTTTTTGTATTATTGTTTTTAAGATAACGCAATATTTGTTATTATTTAACAGTCCATAATTTGTAATGTAGGACACTGTGAATGACATCTTTCTGTTAGAAACTAGTGTAAAGTTACAAGATGTACAAGACGTGGGACTTCTGGATAATTTTTGGCGCCATAGTTTGCGATAGTTTCCTATCGAACAGTAATAGCCTTTTGTCAAGGATATTTCCCCATGACGCATAATAGTGTCTAATACATCAGTAATTAACAACAGCATACACGTGTATCGACCTCTACAACAAGGTATATCTACCAGGACAAATACATACTGTCATACAATGTCAAATATGACTTGTAGGGAAATGGAGAATGCTTTATAGTTTCTCTTTATCTATGATTTCAATGAGTGCACTTTAATCTATAATTTGGCGTTACTGTATCTAATGCTAAAGTTATATTAAGAAATATATAAACTTGCGGGTATTTCATACACTCTCTGTGACACTGCTTGGCAACAAAGAAGGTTAAATACTCAACAATATTTTACTTCTTAATGGTTATTCGAAAATGGTCAAACTGAAGTGTTCAGCATTTTTGAACAGACAGATAGATGGACCTTTTCTTTGTTCTGGAAAGCTGAATATAACCTTTCTCGAAGAAAATTTCTTCGTTTCATTCTGGGATGAATATTTCAGGCAAATAGTTAATATGTTGAATTATACACTTCAAACACTTGTTTTGCTGTGTCATGAAAACATAATCAGTACGACAGCAGTCGATGATGTTTTGTTGGGAAGCAGCTTTTGTCAAACAATATGGAGAACAGATTGGCAAATTCAATATGTATTTTTTTGTCAAGATCACATCTGATCGCATGTATATAGGAATAATATGTGTAAATTTCAATTTAATGTAAGCAACCCTCTGTGTTGTGTTTCTAATAGGACACAGTTCTCATTGTCTCCAACCAGTTAAAATACTGTAATTTTGCCCATACAGTTTTTACTGGCAATCCTCAGACGTATCAGTACCCTAAGGTTAATTCACGGAGACATGTAGACCGATGTCAGATTGACAATCACTTGACCATCAAAAGTGACTGGGACGTTATTTCAGTTTTAGTATTGTAGTTGGTTTAGGAGTAATTATATTTGGAATGTTATCAACTTGATACTTGACAATAAAACGAATGGAAAATACTGAATAAGAAATGGACATCAGATATTTACAACATCAGCAACAGAGAATTGAGGTAATGAGTTCTGAACACGTATGCATCTTTTCTGAATGTGAAAAATTTGCATTGCTAGACAGATATTGACTGATGTTCTAATTGTGAACTTTCTTTATATACCCCTGCCCCTTCTCCTCGCAAAGAAACTCGGCACACTCGGTACAGGAAAAAACTATCATTTCCAAAAAAACCTGAAACACTTAAGCATACGTACTGGAGATGTCATCGTCATAAACAATGAAACACAAACGTCCTATCGATCCTTTTTTCAGGCAGGAACCGAAAACACAATTTTTGGCCTTATAACATATATACACCCTATGTTGATCAAATGCTGAGTGTTGCAAAAGCCTTATAAAGATTCAAAATATGTTGTTCGAATGCAGCTTGCTACGAAGGCCTTAAACAGTTAACCTTATGTTGTCGCAATGTTTGGTGTTACAAAGGCCTTATACAGATACAACCTATGTTGTCCGAACGCTTGGTGTTACGAAGGCATTATACAGATAAAACCATTGTTGTCCGAAGTCTTGGTGTTACGAAGGCCTTATCACACATATACAACCTATGTTGTCTGAGGGATGGGTGTTACAAAGACCTTATTCAGATACAACCTTTGTTGCCCGAAGGCTTGGTGTTACGAAGGCCTTACACAGATACAACCTCTGTTGTCCGAAGGCTGGATGTCACTAAGGCCATATACAAATACAACATATGTTGTCCAAAAATCTGGGTTTTACAAAGGCTTTATTCGGATAAAATGTTGTCTGAAAGCTGGGGTTTACAAAGCCCTATACAGGTACAACCTATGCTGTCTAAATGCCGGATGCTACGAGTACGTTATGATACAAATAATTTTCATAAATAGAATACTTGAAATAGATATATATTTCTTTTTGCAGTTTTTGGGTTCTATATGATTTTCAAAATTCTTACAAGCTATCCAGTCACAGAGTTAGCCCCCGACTACAGTGATCTCTAGTCAAGGTGCTGGTCATCAACAACGCTGGTCGCTAGTCAATACGTTAGTCACAGACTACACTGATATCTAGTCAAGGTGCTAGTTACCAATTATATTGTTCCCCTCTCTTGATTGACTCGATTTCATTTTCACACGAAACTAAATTTGTCGAAGAGCTATCCAAACAAGTCCTATGGATCTTGCGAAGTACTCCAATTTCACTTTCAAATATGTTGAGGACGTCTTGTCTTTAAACAAAAAGCAAAAAGCAAGGACAGGGCTGACACTTATGAATCTGAAATTAATCGTGATTTTATTTCATTTATAGAGAATAAAAGCCCTGCATCCCGAACATATCTTTCAGCTGATTCGGTATTCTAGGATTTGTTCCCGGTATCACGATTTTGTGCAAGACGTCGACAACTTATGGACAATCACACAATCATAAATCTCTTTACGAAATATTTTATTTCTTTTTTCAACATAAATCTGGACATATTTTTGATGATCGTATGTATACTGAGTGGTTTCAGTGTTGTTTACATTATTCTCATTTGGGAACAAGACACAACTTACTTGGGTCGATGAAGAAGATGTTTAGCTTTCCCGAACACCTGGTCTTATTCTCCTTTTCATTTGTCTCCTGTAAATCTTTCTTTTGTTCATTTTTTGGTTTCATGAAAGGGTTTGAATTTTGATTCCGTTAAGATGTCGGAATTTTCTTTGTTGTCTTCTTTACCTTTCAAAATGTCACCACTTTAACTCAATAGGGATATTGTTACCTTCTTGTAGAACTCTCATTCCCATCGGTTAGTAAGATGTTTATGTGAAAAACCATTTAAGTATGACTCAATAATGTTAGTATAATGAAAGTGAGTTTTTGAGTGTTGTGTCACTTTACGTTATGGGAATAAGCTATATATGTCTGTTTATTTATTTAAAACAAAATCCGTTAGAATTGTATTTCATTTGAGATGAATGTTACGAATATGTACATATACCTGGATAATACATATGTAATTTGGAAGAGTTAAAAGTGATATTGTTCAATTATGAAATATTGTAAGTGTTGAAATATGACTTTATGCTTACTTGTTTGTTCTATTAGTTCGGTCATTGGAATAAGGGAGGTAACTCTGTCGGATACTATTTCCTATTCTAATTCATTTAGTTTTGAACAAGGAGAGCACAATATTTTTTTGACATTTTTAAACTACATATGTGAAAATGGATGAATATGGCAAGAGTGTTGATATGAGTAGTAGAAGTACCTTATATAGGTAGAAAGTCCCGACTCCGATTAGATCAATTTATTATAGGATTATATATATATATTAACTCGAGTATCACGTGTCATGCCATTGATGAAAACATTGAAATCATTGAAACCGAAACAAGTGTCAGAACCAGAACGTACTACTGGCGTCTGAAAATTGGCAGATTTTCTACACTTCCGAACATAGAATGGATACTGTAACGCCAGTCACCGGAATAAGGGAGATAACTCTGTAGTAAATATAAAATCACTGAGGGATTTATGTGTTACGTTTCGATGACTAGACAGTTATCTTATTCAGACTAAGTTTAAAGGGAAATGACTTCGTCCATAGAGTTTGGTAACTCTTTTTCTCCCTGGAACACCACTGAAAAAGTCACAGTGATTCATAGCGGATTACAGGTTTTTATTACAGGTATTTGACACTTAAACATATTTTAAAAATACTTAAAAAAGACTATATGTTCACGAAAACATTAGTATGTTTTGAATTAATGATGTTAAATTTATTGTGTTCCGGTTGGCAGCTCGTGGGAGAAGCCGATGACGTCACTAGGGCATGTTATCTTCGCACACAGTATTATAATACATGCTGTCAGTGGCTCTTTTCCAGTGATCTTTGAGAGTGTTATAGACAAAGTTACCATCATCCGATCCTTCCCAGTAAGTCTCTGACGTCACAGGTGTATGGCGGAGACCGTCCACCCACACCCACTGTCCACTTATCTTCTCCAGACCAAGCCAGAACTGGTCAGCATGACCGGCGGCTATAGAAAAATAGGAGTACACGTCATCATAATTTGAACGCATAAATCAACGACTTACAATAGACCGTTATCTAACAATACGAAATAACAAACGGTAACACATGATGGCAACTGAAGATGAGAAAGATAAGAAGGGAGAGTTTACTGAGGTTGTCCACTAAATAGATCGTTTTGTGTTGTTTTGATGAAAGAAAGTACGATCAGTATTGTATTGACATTGGTGAAGAACTTAAATTATAAAACAGACAGACGGATGAATGGATAGACAAACAGTTGATCAGTTTGATAAGGATAAGCATGTACCACGGTTAGAATAGTACTGATAATCAAAACCGTATTTTAAAGCGTCCTTGTATGTGGACAGCCTCCCTTTCAGATCTATCCACTTGAAAAATAGAATCTCATTATCTTATAACAAAAAAACCATATAAGGATTTGCAAAATATCATTTGTTTCCGCTTGAAGTATTTCAAGACAGACAGTAAAAGATTAGCTCTCTCATTGATGGCTGTAAGAGTGTGTTGTGATGACTAAATGAATCAAACAATACTATGCAGTACCCAAAACAACATTATGTACGCAGATTCAGTGTAGTACCATCAGCTTTGTCAGTGGCATGCCATCCTGCATGGTACCCGCTTGTTAGTTAGATTGATTGATATAATTTATATAAAATATTTATATAAAAATGTATTGTTTTTAAATAGATGTATTGTTTCGAATATGTTTTAAAGAGTTTCTCTACAATCAAGCAGTTACAAATGGAGAGTGATTTATATACTCATATCTAATGAATTAGCATAATGGAATTCAGATACACACACACACACACACGCACGCACCCACGCACGCATATATATATATATATATATATAGATATATAATAATACAAATGGTAAGAAGTAGAATTAACGAAATATTTGATATAAAATTATTCACAAATTCTACCTAGATTTCATATCGACACTCTTTTTTGTTATAAATCCGGTTGTAGCTTGGTACTTAAGGAAAAAAGTAGCCGATAAATCTCTGTATTACTTCATAGTCGCTTCGAAGCTTTGTAACACTTTCAATTGCGCTTCTGCTCTATTGCATAGTGTAACGTTTTAAACAATGTTGGTGACATTGGTAGACAGAATACATACAAAATAAATGCATTGGATTTTAATAGCACACATTTCGGCAAGTAAATCTTGTACAATGTTCCCGTGTGGTCAGATCATCTGATTTAGTCAATATGTTCTCAGTCAGCTGTTCCATAGTTGCTAAGGTCATTAACATAAAAAAGTGATATTCAATTAGTTATCAGTAAATATTTATAAATGGCCATTCATATAGCATTATCAGCAAGGTATCACGGAACAAGACAAATGATAAGTTTTGAACATCTTAAATACTTACATTCTAATGACTTTTAACTACGCTTTTATTGAGTAACATAATTACCTTGTAGCTTTTTATTGAGAAAAAGTTCTTCCTCTTCCGTTTCCAGATGAACTAAGTGTAGATTGGCCCTACCACACCTTGCCTTGGCCTCCGCCACTTTCTCGTCCTGCGTAAATTGGTAATAGCAGATTCGGTTAACCGGGTCGGCCACCACTATCTGGGCGTCCGCCATTTTGTTGCAGGTCAGAGTTGCTTAATGAGAAATATAATATGTATATTTGACAAGTGTTAATACATACATTCATACATACATACATAGAAACGAACGAATATTTCTACATGCCGACTACTACACATGTTATAAGTGACCACGTGACTATAACTATGCTTTGTTTGAAGTAACTTGTTATATCTTTAGGCAGGCTTCAGCTTTTCTTTACTATCATTTTCTGCTGTAGAAAAAAAATTTGTATTCTTATCTCCCTCATTACAACGGTAACTATCCCGAGTTATGTCGTATGGTACAAACTTCATCACATATAATTATCTTACGTGGTAAACCCGTTGTTAAATTGCTACTTCCAGTTGTTACCCAACTTCCTGTAGTAGAAGACTTTGCATCATCATAGGATAAGGGTTCAGTTTGCACCAACTGCTTTTTTCTGATCGCATATGTGCCAACGTCGGATGACTGGTATGAAGCTTGCGTTGTACCTACAGAACAAATTCCACAAGTCTTTCGACAGCGTTGTGCTATGTTTTGATCATCACACTGTAGCAATAAATCTATACAATTGTCTTTTTCATTGTCTTCACACACTGTCGTCGGCGCTTTCGATGTCATCGAAGTCATGTTTAATACGGACGAAGGCTGAGACGAAAATGTCGATGACACCTGAGTTGTAACTAGACTCTCTGACGTTGTACCTTCTGGTGTGCACAATCCGCACGTAAGTTTGCATTTCAGCGCCACACTGTAGCTGTCGCATTGATTGGCAAACACACAGAACTCGGCCGACATCTCGTCACAACACGTGTCAGTACAAGGTGCTGTCAACACAACAAGAATAACAAAGATCTTTATCTTTTGAGAAAATAGTTCATGATTTATTCAGATGATTGAACAGTTTGATAAAATATATATCTGTACAATTACTCATCAACTTTTTGAAATCAATGTCATTTCTAAATAAGCACAGGTATACTATTTAGTTGTGCGTCTTTTGTACAACACTTAAAAAGATTTTAGGATCAGTTTTAACAAATATCGATTAATACCTTACATAACTATTTGAAAAATGAAACTATTGTTATATCTCTTGGGTATTTTGAATAACATCAACATTTTAAGTAAGTAAATTATATTTCATAATCACTGAACACACCAGTAGATGGCGAAAATGTCAGTCCATTAGTTGTTGTAGTGACGACCTCTGGTGTTAGGGTAACATGTGGGACGGTGCCAGGACTGTATGTAAATGGTATTTGCGTTGTCTCTATAAACAAATGTAAAGACAAAATTTCAAATCATGTAAGCTTGATAAAAACTGCGTCTCTTAACATGGGTAATTACAAAATGACTTCAATATATAGATAATGAAATATATGATAATAATAACCATGTTTTTCATATCAGAACGTGATATTTTTTATCAATATATATTTAGCAATTAGGACTCTTGAATTCAAAGTTTTTTCGAAAAATGAAATAATAACGCACATCTAATAAAACCACTGATTTGTGTAATTAGGTATTTATATATATAATATATTCCTAGAGTTAAAACCTACTGAGCGAAATCAAAAATAAAAGCTAGCTTATGAGTATTTTTGTATGATATAAATGCTACTAAGGATACACTAGTGATGACATATATATGTCTTACCGACAGGAACGTCTTTGTCACAGTATCCGCATTTCTTTCGACATTTTAGGATAATATCAGGATTGTAACATTGTGGTTGAAGATAGTCACAGATCTCATCGTTAAATTCGTCAAAACAGTTTTGTGTCTCTGTTGACGGTGTTGTTGAATCCGCTTGTCGTTTTCTCACAACAATAGTGTTAGATACCTCCCCTTGCGCAGAATCAGTCGTTGTTTCCGTTTTGCTTGTTACAACACCTTCTGGTGTACACAACCCACACGTCAGTTTGCATTTGAGTGCCACACTGTAGCTGTCGCATTGATTGGCAAACACACAGAACTCGGCCGACATCTCGTCACAACATGTGTCAGTACAAGGTGCTGTCAACACAACAAGAACAACAAAGATCTTTATCTTTTGAGAAAACAGTTAATGATTTATTCAGATGATTGAAAAGTTTGATAAAATTAATATCTGTACAATTACTCATCAAGGTTTTAAAATCAGTGTCATTTCTAAATATGCCCAGGCATTCTATTCAGCTGTGTGTCTTTTGTACAACACTTAAAACAGATTTTAAGACCAATTTTAACAAATATCGATTAATACCTTACATAACCAATTGGAAAATGAAACTATTGTTAGATCACTTGGGTATTTGAATAACATCATAATTTTAAGTAAGAAAATTATATTTCATAATCACTGAACACACCAGTAGATGGCGAAAATGTCAGTCCATTAGTTGTTGTAGTGACGCCCTCTTGTGTTGTTGTAGTGACGACCCCTGGTGTTAGAGTATCATGTGGGACGGTACCAGGACTGTATGTAAATGGTGTTTGCGTTGTCTCTATAAACAGATATAAAGACAAAATTTCAAATCATGTAAGCTTGATAAAAATTGCGTCTCTTAACGTGGGCAAGTAAAATTGACTTCAATATATAGATAATGAAATATATGATAATAATAACCATGTTTTTTTCATATCAGAACGTGACATTTTTTATTAATATATATTTAGCAATTAGGACTCTTGGATTCAAAGCTCCTTGAAACATGAAATGATAACCACTGATTTGTGTAATTAGATTGTTATGTATATAATATATTCGTAGAGTTAAAACCAACTGAGCGAAATCAAAAATAAAAGCTAGCTTATAAGTATTTCTGTATGATATTAATGCTATTGAGGATATACTAGTGATGATATATATATGTCTTACCGACAGGAACGTCTTTGTCACAGTATCCGCATTTCTTTCGACATTTTAGGATAATATCAGGATTATAGCATTGTGGTTGAAGATAGTCACAGATCTCATCGTTAAATTCGTCAAAACAGTTTTGTGTCTCTGTTGACGGTGTTGTTGAATCCGCTTGTCGTTTTTTCACAACAATAGTGTTAGATACCTCCCCTTGCGCAGAATCAGTCGTTGTTTCCGTTTTGCTTGTTACAACACCTTCTGGTGTACACAACCCACACGTCAGTTTGCATTTCAGCGCCACACTGTAGCTGTCGCATTGATTGGCAAACACACAGAACTCGGCCGACATCTCGTCACAACATGTGTCAGTACAAGGGGCTAGGAATTGTATGATGATATAAATACAAAGGAACGTATCTTAGTATGAAAAGAATTGAATAAGCCCATCTAATATTTTAAATCGAATTTTCGATTTATGAATATATTTTAAACAATCTGTCTTATCCTCTAGAAAAAATCAATTGTATGCATTTGAAAACATACGAACATCCAATGTACTCATCACACAAAGTAAATATAAATGCTCAATGTAATAGAGGGGATGATATGGAACTACAAACACCTGCATCTGTTGTGTCTCATTCTGAGAATGATTTAATAGTTGGAATAGAAATTCAAGCTGTTCGTTATCGTACAAACTTACCACTGGATGGAGCAAATGTTAACCAGTTTGTTGTTGGCAAAGGTGTCGTGTAAGTGATTGGCAACGTAAGACCCCCTTGTGATGGCATGATAGTGGCGTGTTGCACGGTTCCAGGACTGTATGAAAATGTTTTTTGTGTTGTTGCTGAAAAACAAACGTTTGCTTGAAAAATAAACATTTACTTATAGAATTTGAAGGATAAAACTGAGACGGAAAGATAAAGGCAATGACGAAAATCGACGGAAATGAACGATATATTTTGACAATGGGAGACGCCCCTTTGAAACATTTGTGAAATAACGTCAGTTTGCGTAATATTTGGAAATAATTTCAACTTTTGAACTGCTCATTTGTTGCTGTCAGTTAAATAGTTACATTTGATCAGTGCGAAATAAGCGCTTCCTTTTCAGTGTGATATATTATCTGCCCATGATCTGCCTTGTAACGAAACGTTTAGTAGGTACAAAAGTAGAACGGAAATGTCAATATAAAAAAAGTCGATTTGTAATAAAACAAATCTTAAAAGTCCTATAAATAGAGCTGAAATGTACTGGAAAAGAAGTTCCAGTACGAAGAGTATTTAAACTGAATAGACATTGATTATATTCGATTAAGAAACAGTTACCGACAGGAATGTCTTTTCCACAATATCCACATGTACTTCTACATTTCCTGATGATATCTGGGTTGTAACATTGCGGCATTAGATAACCACATATCTCATCGTTGAATTCGTCGTAACAGTTTGCCGATAATGTAACCATTGTCTCCCTCATTCCACCAGATAATCGTCGGTTCAGTATTAAAGACTTTAAACTATGTCCTGAAATATATCATGTACACCACTACATGCTTTTACAAAAAACAAAAACAAAAAATTCTTATCAAGTGATTCCGTTTAAATTTTCAAATATGTTATCAGAAATATTGTTTACTATGCGATAGATAAGTCACAGACAATCAAGTCACAAGTTATTGTCAAGATAATGTCAAAGAATAGTACTGAATAATAATAACCCACCGTAAAATACGTTTTACAGAATGTTAACCATCACTTATCGAATACGTGTAATAGAATTATGAAAAGTCATTTTCCAATACGTATAAAGGAATTATAATAACCTATTGTCAAATACGTATCACAGTCCGAGCCACATACGTGTCAATGAAAAAAACAAAACATTGTCACACGAGTGCCAGAGAATGAAAACAAGACACTGTCAAATACGTATCACAGTATTATAACAAGTCCGAGTCACATACGTGTCAATGAAAAAAACAAAACATTGTCACACGAGTGCCAGAGAATGAAAACAAGACACTGTCGAACAAGTATCACAGAAAAATGCCACTATCAAATATGTGTCACAGAATGGTGAAAGTCAATGTCAATTAATTGCTACAGAATAAAACAGGTCATTGTGAAAATAAAAAAAAAAAAAAACGTCACCGTCAAATGTGTGTTACACGATTAATAAAAAGACAATGTCAAATTCTTGACAAGCGACTATAAATTACTGGACATAGAGAAATACTAATGAACATTCAAATACGAGTAATAGAATGATTACAAATTGCTGCCAAGCACGTGTCACTGAATAAAAAACGAGTCATGTTGAATCAAATGTCATGGAATAATTACAGACCACTGTCAAATATGTGCCAAAGAATGATAATACGTCACTGCCAAATGCGTGTCTTTGAAAAATAAAAATTCGTCAAATACATGTGTCACAAAATCAAATAAGTCAATGCCTAATACGTGTCACAGTGTTATAACAAGGCATGCCTGATACGTGACTTAGAACAATAACAAGGCACTGTCAAATACGTGTCATAGAATAATAAGAAACCAGTGTCAAATGCGTGTCACATAATTATGAAAAAGAAACTGTCAAATATCTAATAAACCACTATAAATTACGACTCAAGCCATATTCAAATACGTGTCACAGAACTACAGGAACTCACTGTCAAAGCAGTATCATAGAATATGAACAGGGCATGGTCAAATACATGTCAAAGAATATAAATTCACTGTCAGAATGATAAAAAAATACTTTCCAATACGTATCACAGAATGATATTAAGTCACCGACAGATATATGTCAAAATGACAACGAATCACTGGTAAATGCGTGCTAAAGAATAATCACAAGTTAATTTCAAATACATGTCAGAGGATTAAAAACACGACACTGTCAAACAGAAATCATAGACTAATGACAAGGCACTGTCAAATACTTGTCACAGGATGATAACCAGTTATTGTTAAGTGTCAAACAATCCCCTTGCTCTGATCATACCGTCTGGGTTCAGACCTGGAGTCGTGGTCATGTTTCGTGCTTCTGGTAAAAGTTTCAGGCTTTACCAGATATTTGTACAACATATAAAACGTTTGGACAGGAGGATTCAATGTAAAAATTACCACGAAGAGAAAATATATACTTTTTCCTGAACAGCCCATCTCGTCCGAGCCGTCAGAACAATCTTCCACAGCGTCACATCGCCAGCTCGTGGGGACGCAAGACCCTGTTTGACACTGGAACTCTTTTGTGTTACATGTATGACTTTCTGTTGGGAACATAATATCATTCCTTTTTTTTTTGTTACGAAAAAACATATTGAAATGTGTGATATATGCGGTATGAAGATAAGACAGATGAAAAAAAGTAATATAGTTGATCGCCTTGGTCGATCTAAAAATGTGTGTTTAGATATAGAGCATGTACGTCAATTGATCTCAACTATTCAGTAACACAGAACGTTTTATTTCAAATGAAAGCAAACAATATTTTTTATCACATAAAACAAATATATCACAATTTCACAGGAGTTGAAGCAAAACACATGAATTTTGCACCATATTCATTTTATGACACAGCAAATGAAAAACGCTCCAAGGTGTATAACACTAGTGACATATACGAAAAAATATTACAAGGACGAATTAATGAGATATGAAATGGTATGTGAACAATTATGTATTTTTTGACATACCACAATTAGCTTCGTCACTTCCATCAGAACAATCCCTGTCGTGGTCACAAACGAAAGTCTCGGGAAGACAATGTCCATTATTGCATAAAAATCCTTGACACGACTGCGTCTCTGTAGAGTGAAATGTAGAAGTTGCTTCAGTGTTTTTTTTTTTAAAATATACAGAAACGTTAACATTGTGTTTAAAACCAGCTTCAACTGCAGTCTTAAAGATTAATTCTATCGCAAATAGAACCATTCATTTGTTAAAATCCAAGCACTCGTTTTGTTACTTACATTGAGTCCCAAATTAAATAGGCATTACTATAAGCGTGACTGACATACCATAGGCACGTTAAACCATATGAAAGCTACATACATGTATACAGCTAACTATATTTTTATTTCCAAATTGTGTAAAGTTTCAGATGTGCAGTGAGTGGTTATACAATTTTAGTTAATTTCGAACTTTTTAATATATGCATATGTTGCAAATCAAAAACGATAACGTTCAAAAATTGCCATGGAATAAATTGAAAAAGGAAGATCGCTGGCAGCAAAAAAATAAGATATTGACATCTATTCAGCTCAGATGTCAGTCACAAATAAAGACCTTCTGGCAGGTGTGTACAAACGGTATCTATTGAAATACAGCTTTTGAATCATAATTTTTCAGAGCTTGTTGATAACTCATTATGTAATCATTGATTGCTACATTACTTATTTAGAGAGTACGATTGTTTAAAAAAAGGTGTCCGACGTTTCAAAAGAGTATAGTTCAAAGTGGCATTGGAGCAAACAAATTATAACAATAATTGATGTCAAACAGGATATTGTTCCGATTGTTTTACCCTTTGTAGTGTTAGGCGTTGGTACAGTTGTTCCGCCACATAAACCACAACTTTTCCGACACATTATCAAAGCAGATTCAGTATCGTTACAAATGTCTATGGATGATATCAGCGAATCACATGTTGAGTTCATGTCGCCACATTCACCGTTTGATGGTACTCCAACATCAGGTGATGACGCCTTGACAGGTAATGCCGTCACCAAAATTGTTGATATTGGTGTTGCTGTTTTAGTTGTTTTTACGTCGATCAAAGGCTGTATAGTTTTAACATTTGCTGAAAGAGGTGCATTCCATAAATATATATCACGTTTTGTTTCGTGTAGCCATGGGTTCAGTTATTCATGAGGAGACCATAACAGGGTGCAAGACATGTTAGCTACTTGATGTTTGTAATTACAACGTCATGCCAAGTTATTGTAATTTTTGCAAAATTGTAACGTCATATAACCGATCATTTGGAATGAAGTCTAGGTAACAGAAAAGATATATTGTTTTAGAAATGTCAGCTGAGGTGTCATATGACCTACGTGATGTTATCTGTCAAACAGGCTCGATTGCTCCAGGGAAATCTCATGTAAACAAACCATGTTGTCAAAATAGATAGAAAATCTGTCAAATTGATAGAAGTGAAGACGGCAATTTTTGATACGTGAGAGATGTTGAAATAAAGGAACATAACTGATTCGAGATGTGTTTGTAAAAGGTACGAAAAACAGTCGTCGACAAAGAAACCGACCAACGAGGACAAACGGCCTTTTTTAGTTGAAAGAGAACTTAAGAAAGAATATATGTGAAGATTAGACCCACGTTCTCT